TACTTGTGACAGCTAAATTTCTAGTGACAGCTTAGTTACTTGTGACAGCTAAATTACTAGTGACAGCTTAGTTACTTGTGACAGCTAAATTACTAGTGTCAGCTTAGTTACTTGTGACAGCTAAATTACTAGTGACAGCTTAGTTACTTGTGACAGCTAAGTTACTTGTGACAGCTAAATTACTAGTGACAGCTTAGTTACTTGTGACAGCTAAATCACTAGTGACAGCTTAGTTACTTGTTACAGCTAAATTACTAGTGACAGCTTAGTTACTTGTGACAGCTTAGTTACTTGTGACAGCTAAATTACTAGTGGCAGCTTAGTTACTTTTGACAGCTTAGTTACTTGTGACAGCTAAATTACTTGTGACAGCTAAATTACTAGTGACAGCTTAGTTACTTGTGACAGCTAAGTTACTTGTAAAAGCTAAATTACTAGTGACAGCTTAGTTACTTGTGACAGCTAAATCACTAGTGACAGCTTAGTTACTTGTGACAGCTAAGTTACTTGTGACAGCTAAATTACTAGTGACAGCTTAGTTACTTGTGACAGCTAAATCACTAGTGACAGCTTAGTTACTTGTTACAGCTAAATCACTAGTGACAGCTTAGTTACTTGTGGCAGCTAAATTACTAGTGACAGCTTAGTTACTTGTGACAGCTAAATTTCTAGTGACAGCTTAGTTACTTGTGACAGCTAAATTACTAGTGGCAGCTTAGTTACTTGTGACAGCTAAATTACTTGTGACAGCTTAATTACTAGTGACAGCTTAGTTACTTGTGACAGCTAAGTTACTTGTAACAGCTAAATTACTAGTGACAGCTTAGTTACTTGTGACAGCTAAATCACTAGTCACAGCTTAGTTACTTGTGACAGCTGAATCACTAGCGACAGCTTAGTTACTTGTGACAGCTAAATCACTAGTGACAGCTTAGTTACTTGTGGCAGCTAAATTACTAGTGACAGCTTAGCTATTAGTTACCGGCCAAGAAAGACATGTGATACTGAGACTGAACAAATTTGTAAATTTAACCCATTTTTTTTGTTGTTGTTCCTTTTTAAACCCCTATATAGGTGGCTATCTGGCTGGCTGGGTGGTGGACTAACAAAAAAATTTTTGGACGGCTAACTGACCGACTTTCCATCAACCTGTCGAGCTGAAACTTGGCACATAGCGTCGCTGCCATTGACAAAAACTTCTATCAAATTTTCAGGCCCAACCCCCCCCCCCTCTCCATCCCGTTCCACCCCAAAAAATCAGTTGTTTTTTTTCTGTTTTTTCAAGGGCAAGATAAAATAAAATTCCCGATCACTGCGCTGAGATTTATTATTTTTAAATATCGCACACGCCTTTGGTGCGTAATATTTTCTTTAGTTTTTTTTCCCCCTCAAACTGTTGGTGAAATAAATCTGTTTTACAAAAGCGGACCAGGAAATTAGAATATTAATACGGGTTCAAGGGGGCGTGAAAAGAACGTGCGATAGCGAGCCTTGCGTGGGGTGGCGAGGAAAAGGGGGGGGGGGTCTTATAAAATGCGCTACTTGTTGTCTGCATGTTTTGTCAACCCCAATCCCATCCCCCCCTCCCTTTTTTAATATGAAGTTGGCACAGTTGATACTCATTAACACAATAAACACAACACGCCATCACTGCCATGGACGTCGCTTGGAACCCCCCTCCCCCCCCCCCCC